GATGGGATTCAGTTCCCATTATGTTGGTGCACCTCAATCTTAAAATGCAACACCTCTGCTCGTATAGTTCTTTGAATCAAAGTCTGCCGAGCATGCTGATATGTACCAACCAAAGTGGACCTTTTGGATATAAAATATTTAAAAAAAATTTCAACCCAAAATATGTATATATATATATATATATATATACACATATACGTGTACATATATATAGCATTGTTCCTTTTACATTTTAAGTCTGGGTTGTGTTCTTCTGTGGGTAACACATTCACATTATTCCAAGTTCAAAAAGTAAAAAGGAGCACAACCAAAAAGTCTCCCTCCAGCCCCATCCCTCACCCACCCAGTCCCCTTACATGAAGGCAACCAGCAACATCAGGTTCTCGTATGTATTTCCAAGTAAATGTTATGCACAACCAAGCCAGTGTGTATGTATGTCCTTCCCTCCTTTTTCTTTGTTTTACATTCATGGTCCTGTATGCTATATAGTATTCTGCACCTTGCTTTTTTCACTGAATAGTACAACTTGAAGAGTTATTTGTATCAGAACATACAAAGCAATCTGGGTGGCTTAAAACAACAGAAATCTGAGTTCTAGAGGCCAGAAGTCCTAACTCAAAGTGAGGCAAGGTTGATTCCTTCTGGAGGGGCCTGAGGGAGAATCTGTTCCATGCCTTTCTCTTGCTTCTGGTGCTTTCGCACGATCCTTGGCGTTCCTTGGCTTGTAGATGCATCGTTCCAGTATCTGCCTCTGTCATCACTTGAGCTTCTCCCCGTGTGGCTGTGTCTGTGTCTCTTCTTACAACGAGTTTTTTTAAATAAGTCGTTAGATTTAGGGCCCACTGAAATCATACTCTAGTATGACTTCATCTTAACTAATTACACCTGCAAAGACTCTATTTCCAAATAAGGTCACATTCTGAGGTTCTGGGAAGGATATGAACTTGGGGGGGACATGAATTCAATGCTTTGTCATGGTTGTGTAGTGTTATTTCCACATTGGGCTCCGACCAGTCCCCACTTACTAAGTATTTGTTTTGGTCCTTTGCCCTTCTACACAGTGCTGCCGTGAGTAACCCATGTGTAACAAGCACAGGGGATTTAGGTTGAGCACTAAGTGAAGACATCTCTGTAAGCCAGGTTTGTTAAATTCTGGACAAGAAGTTAAAACCACCACCTGGGAGGTTTTAAGCAGACAGCATAGCTGTCAGGGATGGATTTGTTTTAGGAGCCCTTGGGAGCAGGGGCTTTTGATCTCTCAAAAATTCCATCAGTTGGGTTAAAAGCGGTAAGATTAAACACATGGGAGGTTCTCAGCATGTGTATTCTCAGGGTAAGTGTATACTAAGGTTCAGGGTTGCCAACAAAAGACCACACACAAGCTCTATCAGTGCATGGGAAAACGCTTTACTCACATAGAGAAGAGACAGTGAGTGAGATCCGATTCACTAGTGAACACCGGTCTCCTGTGGCCAGCAGGATTGTCCCACATATGGCCAGTGTAGGGCAGATGTCTATGTTCACCCCTCTCGTGCCGAGGTCGAGAGACCCCATTCCCTTCCCGCCAGGAGCAGATATAGAAGTGGGGTTGGCCAGGTGCCATATGGTGCCCACCCATGTGCAAGAGACAGAGAAAGTCACTGTGTGCCCAGAACAAGCGGAAGGCTTCTCTGATAAGAAGGAACTAGGAGAGAGATGACGACCCAATCCCCAGCTTCCTTATCAGAGAATGTTCTGGGCCCAAGGCCTTTACTTAGGCAGCCCAGATGGGAAGCATAGAGGCAGACCATTTCCCCAACAGTAAGACACATTGAAGTGGTCACCCAAGCTGCTCTTCACTTCTCAGTTAGATCTGCTCTCCAGCTGTGGCTTCTGACCTCATTGTTACTTCTATCCTCTACATTGCTCTCTTAAAATTTGATTGTTCACAGGCCCTCCTGTGAGTTCTAAAGTAATGAAGCGTAGCCCAAAAAGCTGGTTATCTTTGGTAAGACAATTCACATGAGAGAGTAATGTGATTCCTCTAGCGCGTCTCAAAGGAGCCCATTTGGGCTGTGGAATCTTAAAGCCCCCCACCCGTCTGCCAGTTTATCGCACTGTGATGGTATGAGTGTTGCTAAGATGCTGGAAGCTATGCCACTGGAATTTGAAATACCAGCAGGGTTACCTTGGTGGACAGGTTTCAGTGGAGTTTCCAGACTAAGACAGACTAGGAAGAAATGCCTGGCGATCTACTTCTGAAAATTAGCCAATGAAAAGCCTATGGAGTATAGAATATTGTCCAATACAGTGCTGGAGGAGCCCTGGTGGTATAGTGGTTAAGAACTTGGCTGCTAACCAAAAGTTTGGCAGTTCAAATCCACCAGTCGCTCTTTGGAAACCCTACGGGGCAGTTCTACTCTGTCCTCTAGGGTTGCTATGAGCTGGAATTGACTGGACGGCAACGGGTTTGGTTTTTTGGTATAGTGCTGGAAGATGAACCCCCTCGGTTGGAAGGCAACAGTGGACTCAAGCACACCAGCAATCATGAGGATGGCACAGGACTGAGCAGCATTTCATTCTGCTGAACATGTGATCACCAGGAGTCACAGCTGACTGGACAGCAATTACCAACAGCAATCATTAAGCAAGCTTATGTTGACCCCCACAGCTCCTCACATACTTATTCAGAATAGGAAGTTCTCCATCTGCTTCTCCATGAGGTTTTTCTCATCACTCTTAGGTCATCAAAAGTCCTGTGGTCACTTTAGGTCACTGTAGTGGATGCTGTAGTGTGCCACCTAGCTCCCCCTTGAGGACAGAGGCACTTATTTCCCAGCTGCTGGTAGTATTGGCTTCTAGTTGCTCACAGCTGAGTCCCTGTCTGAACTTGCCTTCTGTGGCAAGGAGCTGCTCAGCCCAAAGTTCTGCCCCCTCTTTAGGGGCAGCTACATCCAACGTAGAGGTACAAAAGCCACACTGCCTCGCCTTAATTCAGGACAACTCTGAAGGGCAACCCCAGCTTGAGCTCCCCATGGGATTGCCGGAAGCACCTGTGGCAACTGCACTACATTTCAGTGTCTCCCTCTGCTTCCCTGGCTCCCTCACAGATGCCGCTCCTGAGACCACCCCCCAATCAACCGCCTGGGAACCAGATACAAGACAGTCACCAAACAATCTCAATCTCAATTAGAAAGTACAATCCCACACAAAAGAAAACCTCTAAACTTGGTTTTATGAAGTTAAATCTTCCCCTATGAAAAGCAAAGGATTGGTTTCTTCCCCATCTTCCTGCCGCAGTTTGCAAATGGTAGTTTCTGACCTATGGTGGGCCGAATAATGGCGCCCAAAGATAACAGGTCCTAATCCCTGGGACCCGTGAATGTTACCATCCAACAAAAAACAAATTCAGACTTTGATAGTGAGAAACTGTATTTAGAAAGAAAAGGCGGAAAGGGATTATTACTCATAGCAGTTCAGTTACTCATTTATGAGGCTTGCTGATCTTATGGTCAGAGTGGTCTCCCTGTTACAACAATAGACCTCTCCCTCTATTGTTATTACAATAACAAAGTTTTCTGAACAAAGCTTCTCTCTATCAAAGGATGGATTTGTTTTTTTGTTTGACATTCCATTCCACAAAAACCAATCGTTCCTATGATGCAGTGCGCCATGCCCAGTTCCAGGTTCCTTGTGCAGCAGCAGTGAACGAGAGACCAGGGCCTACTTTCTGGCGCCTTCGTGCTAGTGGAACAGAAATGAGAGGGTCACAGAGACCCCGCTGACTTCGGGGTATCTGTGCTGTTCTGACTGAATGAAACAGTCAAATCCTAATGAATCCCTTGGGTTCCTGCGTTACCTGTTTGTTGCCTTTTTCTCAAAGGGCAGCTTAAATGGGGATAAAATTCCCACCTAAAAGCCTCACTTTTTCCCCTCAGAGCTTTGTAGACTCTGGGGTCTACTGAGAAGAAGTGTCAGGGTCTTTCTCTTTTTCACTGACCCTCTACTTTACCAAGCATGATATTCTTCTCCAGGAACTGGTCCCTCCTGATAATATGTCCAAAGTACATGAGATGAAGTCTTGCCATCCTTGCTTCCAAGGAACACTCTGGCTGTATTTTTTCCAAGAGAGACTTGTTCGTTCTTCTGACAGTCCATGGTACAGTCAGTATTCTTCACCGACACCATAATTCAAAGGCATCAATTCTTCTTCAGTCTTCCTTATTCATTGTCCAGCTTTCGCATGCATATGAAGCAATTGGAAATACCATGGCTTGGGTCAGGTGCACCTTAGTCCTCAAGGTGACGTCTTTGCTTTTTAACACTTTAAAAAGGTTTTTTTGCAGCAGATTTGCCCAGAGGAATATGTCATTTGATTTCTTGACTGCTGCTTCCATGTGTGTTGATTGTGGATCCAAATGAAATGAAACCCTTAACAACGTCAAATCTTTTCTCCGTTTATCATGATGATGCTTATTGGTCCAGTTGTGAGGATTTTTGTTTTCTTTATGCTGAGGTGTAATCCATACTGAAGACTGTAGTCTTCAATCTTTATCAGTAAGTGCTTCAAGTCCTCTTCACTTTGAGCAAGCAAAGTTGTGTCATCTGCATAACACAGCTTGTTAATGAGTCTTCCTCCAACCTTGATGCCACGTTCTTCTTCATGTAGTCCAGCTTCTCGGATTATTTACACAGTGTCATGGTTTGAATTATGTCCCCCCAAAAATGTGTGTGTCAATTTGGCTAGGCCATGATTCCTGGTACTGTGTGATTTTCCTGTATGTTGTAAACCTGCCTCTATGATGTTAATGAGGGAGGATGGGTGGCAGTTGTGTTAGTAAGGCAGGACCTCATCTACAAGACTGGATTGTGTCCTGAGGCAATCTCTTGAGAAATAAAAGACAGAAGTGAGCAGTGAGACAGGAGGAACTCATACCATCAAGAAAGCAGTGCCGGGAGCAGAAGCTCCTAGTCTGGAAACTTTTTTAAAAACCCAAAACTTTATTGCAGTTTCTCGTAGCCAGAACTGAGCTTGCAATGCCAGGACCATCTTGTGATCCTCAGAGGGGTCCTGGGGGCTGGAGAACAAGGGAAGGAAGCAAGCCACTGCTGGGAAGGCTAGCCACCTCTGGGGAGCCAAAATGTCCCGAAGAGCTCTGCACTGGGGCACCGCAGGGGACCAGAAGCCTTTGGCCAGGAGGTTCTCGGAGGAGAGGATGCTGGGAGGGGCTAAGCTCAGGGCACCATGTTCCACCACTTGAAGGAGAAGGGCTTCCGGCGCACATTGGTGCCACAGTGCACCTCCCCGCAATGAACATGGTAGGTGTCAAAGTCGTCGATGAAGGTGCAGTGCAGTCCCAGCAGCTCCAGCAGGGACCGCACCTTCTCCTCCAGGCAGCAGCAGCCCTCGATGATGGGCCCGAAGGGCTTGGGGATGCCCAGGTACTTCCCCAGAACCAGCATGTTCACCTGCAAAGAGGTAGGATCCTGAGTCAAAGGTATCACTACCTGAGGGGCCCCTCCCTCTTTTGACCTCCAAAAACAATAGCCCACTTTATAGATGAGGAAACTGAGGCCCAGACAGGTAAACTGGCTTGCTTAACATCACCCAGCTAGTCTAGAACTTACACCCAATTCTTTTGTACTCCAGGGTCTATGCTCACAACACTACACTCTCCTCCCCACCTCCGACCTTTTGGCAAATTTTTTCTATTACTCAAGACCCAGCTCAAACGCTACCTCCTCTGTGAAGCAGCCACGACTGTCCCACACTCTGGCCATTAGTCACTCCTCCTCAGCTCCCATAGCTCCCAGCACGGTGCCTGACATGTCGCAGGCATTTAATAAGTATCTATTGAACGGACGAATAAATGGCTACCTCTGTTACAGCACTTTTAATACATGATAACTTATGTAAACACCAATGTTTCCTCCATTATATTGGGAGGTGGCCTGGTGAGGTGAAAGGAGAGGATCTGGGCTCCAGGCCAACATGGGTTTGAATCTCAGCTCTGCTACTCAATCGATGTATGACCTTAGGCAAGCCTCATCAGCAAAATGAGCCCAAACACATTTCCATCGCTATGACAATTAGATAAGAGCATGTATGCAAAGCATTGTGCCCAGCACATGTTGTTAGCTGCCATGAGGTCAGCCCCCAGCTCATGGCTACCCCATGCACAACAGGATCAGACTGTTGTGATCCATAAGGTTTTCATTGGCTGGTTTTTGGATGTAGATCACCAGGCCTTTCATTCTAGTCTGTCTTAGTCTGGAAGCTCCACTGGAACCTGTTCAGTATCATAGTAAAATGCAAGCCTCCACTGACAGATGGGTGGTGGCTTTGTTTGAGGTGCATTGGCTGGGAATTGAACCTGGAAGGCAAGAATTCTACCACTGTCTCCGTGCCCAGCACATACCAAACAAAACCAAACCCACTGCCGTCGAGTCAATCCTGACTCATAGTAACCCTGTAGGACACAGTAGAACTGCCCCATAGAGTTTCCAAGGCTGTAATCTTTACGGAAGCAGACTGCCACATCTTTCTCCCGCAGAGCAGCTGTTGGGTTCGAACTGCTGACCTTTCGGTTAGCAGCCGAGCACTTAACCATTGTGCCACCAGGGCTCTTACCCAGCACATAGGTGCATATTAGACGTAGCTTCCTGGGGGCCCAGGCAGGGCTGTGCACAGTCAGTCTCCTGGTTCATGAGTGATTGGATGGGGATCTCATTCTCTGTCCTGCTCAGACACAGCACCGCTATTGGTGTCTCTACCTGTTCCATGCCCACTGATGGATTTATCTGAGATGCCCTAACCCCAGCAATTGGCATCAGCTTTCTTTCCTGAGCTAGAAAGCCTGGCTGGGCTAACCCCAAGAGGAAACAAGATGCTTGTGACCAAGGAATTTTATTCAGGGAGCTGGGAAGGAGTGGTACCGCCTCCTGCCTTGTTTTGGCCAAACCTCAAACTCATTGCTCTTCAGTTAATTCTGACTCATGGCGATCCTATAGGACAGAGTAGAACTGCCCCACAGGGTTTCCAAGGAGCGGCTGGTGGATTCGAACCGCCGACCTTTTGGTTAGCAGCTGAGCTCTTAACTACTGAGCCACCAGGGCTCCTCTACTGTATCAAGGAACCCTTTATTCAAAAACAAAATCTTTTGCAGAGCCTCAATGCATAATACAGAAAATCTGAGCCACTGAATTTGCAGCACTGCCTTGGAACCCCAACACGCTGGGGATCACAGTTTGAAAACCACGTGCCAGGGAATGCTGGCCCTTTCCTGAACTCCCTGCAGGGAGCGAGCGGGGTGGCAGAGGGGACCCAGTGGAATTGGGTGAAGTTTCCATCTGGCCCTTGGGTATTCTTTGGAGAGAGAGCGTGGCAGGGCAGAAGGGTGGTAAAATGCAGTAGATGACTTCAAGATAGTGCTTGTGGGTCACAGATAACAGTTGTTGACAAAAGTGGGCTCACCCTCAAGTCCATCCTTCAGATGGTGATCCCACCCAGCCCTGGCAGTGCCACCTCCTTAGAGAGGACTGCCCAGACCACCCAGTCTAAAGTGGTGCCCCTGTGTTCATTTCCCTCACGGGGCTTAATGTAACCTGAAAGCATCTTGTTTGAGTTTGTGTCCCTCCCCGTGGCAGGGCAGCTGATGGGAGGTAGCACAGCCTGCTGGTTAGAGCACGGGTTCTGCAACCAGACCCCTGGCTTTGAATTTGAGCTCCGCCTCTTGCCAGCTGTGTGTATTTGTGCAAGAGACCACACCTCGCTGGGCCTCCTCTGTATAGTGGAGGCGATAACAGTATCTAACTTGCAGCGTGGTTGTGAGATACCAGAAGGCACTTTATAAACTGTAAAACCCACAAAAACCAGTTGCTGTCAAGTTGATTAGGACCCATGGCAACCCCGCATGTGTCAGAGTAGAACTGTGCTCTCTAGGGTTTTCATGGCTGTGATCTTTTGGAAGTAGATAGCCAGGGCTTTCTTCCGAGGCACCTCTGGGTAGACTCGAACCTCCAACCTTTCAGTTAGCAGCCAAGCCCATTAACTCTTTGCACCACCCAGGGATTCCTTGTAAACTGTAAAGGGTCATGAAAATCCCAGGCAGGTGAAGAGAACCCAAGCTTCCTGGACCCCCCCCCCGCCTCCACCGACAGCCCCATTGGACTTTGGGCTGACCCCTCCTCACCATGTTTGGGAAAAAGGCTTCGGCTTTGAGGGTTCCTCTGCTGTCCTTCAGGAGCTTGTAGAGCTGGGGGATGTCGATGATGTCACGCTCCTCCAGGCCTAGCTCCTGCTTCAGCACCTCTCGGTTCCAGTCAATGCAGCGCTGTGTGGGGAGGGAGGAGGGCAGTGAGCATGCTGACGGGAAGGACCTGGAGGGCAGTGCTTGCGGCCTCTCTGACAGGCAGCTCCCTGGCACTGGGGCCCTTGGCCTTCGTGGGCTTCTTCCTTCCTCTTTGTTCCTCCTCTGTCCCTCTGCTCTGCTCTGCTCCGCTCTCCCTGCATCTCTGGGTCTCTCTCTGCCTCTACTTATGTGTGTCTCTATCTCTCTGGACGCTCTGCTCGGCCTCTCACACTGTCCCACTGTCCCTCTGTTTCTGAGGGTGTCACCTCTTTCTCTGACTCCAGTTTTTCTGACTTTTCTCTTTTTCATGCATCACCCTATTCCTGGGGTATTGACGGAGGTTTCTCTCTTTTTCTCATCTACCCAAATCCTAAGGGACGTCACCATAGCCCCCGGGGGCTGCTCATCACCTAGCCGACATGCAGCCCACAGAAGGCTCCTGCCTTGTGCCCCTAATTGCAGGGAAGGTGGCTGGGGTGGGGGTGGCATCTCCTGGGCACGCAGGCTTGTACCTCTGCATATAAATTATGTTCTCTCAATTTCTTGCTTGACAAAATGTCCTTTATTTTTTGCTGTTTTTTTCGTGCTATGGAGAAAAAGATAAAAAAATGCAAATAAATTCAGGGGTGCATTTCCCTCCTCCGAGTACGTGCTGTGAGGACTCAGTTTCCCCATGTATAAAACGGGGGCAGCAATAACTCCTAATGTATAAGTTTGTTGTGAGCATCTGCAAGGCAATGCTTTCAATAAAATATTTTATCAGTGTCAGTTCTCATTTAAAATGTTGCTCTCACTTCATTAGATCCTCTTATCCTCAGAGAGATCCCTTTTACAAAGGGCAAAAAGGAGGTGTGACCGTTGCCTGATGCCACATGGCACACTACAGATATTAGGCAAAAACGCTCAGATGTGGAGGTTTGTTAGCCTCTGACCCCAACCCATGTCTGTGAACTTTACTGAAAAGATATTTCAGTGAAGAAATTATAATATCGTATCATATCACATCATACTATATTACCTTTTTATTACCTGAAAGACTGAATTTCTTTCAGGTCTTCAAACATATCTTGCTTTCTCTTGCCTCTGGGCCTTTACATTCACTGTTCCCTCTGTCTATAATATTTTCCTTCCCATCATCCCACCACCCCACTTGTCCGGCCAACTCTTACTCATCCCTCATGTTCCTGCTTGGTCTTCCCCTCCTCCAGGAAGCTCTCCCTGAGCTCTCCCAGACACTCCCAAGGCCCCTGTATTATAGTTGTTTGCTTGACTGGCTTCCCCCGGACTGTGAGCCCTGGGGGTTGGAAGCCATTTTGCCCTGCTCTTGAAGTATCCCCTGGCACTTAGCATGATGCCTGGCCTGCAGTAGGTGCTCAGAAATATCTGTTGCCTAGGTGATTCCTTTTGGCAATAGGTGACCACAGCACGCAGAGAAAAGTGCCCAGAAGGGAGGAACAGGCATGCTTCGCTTACTGTTGACCCCTTCGAACAGCACAGCCTCCCCATGGCCTTCTTTCTCTTTCTCCTGGAACAGTTTGTAGCAGGCCCTCGGGCTGGCCAGGAGCAGACGGAATCCCTGGAGGCAGGAAACACTGAGGTCAGAGGTCAGCATTGCCCATGGGGCTCAGCTGAGAGTGTGGGGAGTGCAGACTTGGTCCCAGGTTGGTTGCCTCCTCCATTCCCCCACCCCAGAAGTGAGGGAAAAAGAGTCAGACATGGGAACCCAGGAAGGAGGTACATGGCCTCCTCCAGGCAGGCCTCCAGATTGCACCTTCCTATCACGTGCCGGCACAAAGCTCAGGAACTCGTCCACGTGGCCCACAAACAGCCAGTCAGAATAGAGCTTCACAGGGGCCTGCACCTGCTGGGCGGCGAGGAAGTCCTGCAGGGCCTGGTTCATCTCTCGGCTCTTATCGCTGCCAACGTAGGGATAAAGGAGTGTGTGTGGGGGAGGGAAGACGGTAGGGAAGAGGGTCAGCAGGAAAGTCTGTCACAGACTGGGGGCTTGGCAAAGGGGTCAGGGTGCTCCTGCAGCTGGGGAAGAGATTCAGGGGGCTGAATGCCTCCTCACCTTTATCATATTCCCTAGAATTTGTGGGATTTAGGAACCTTTATCCCAGTTTTACTGGGGGAAACTGAGGCACAGAGTATTTAATGTATATAGGGCTGGAGCTTAGCTTGAGAAAGCACTGCCTGGTAACTCAGTCTAGATGCTGGTGTTGTGGAAAAATGTGGGGTTTGGAGCCAGTCTGACCTGAGCTCGTGGTCCCTTGTTAGCTGTGTGGCCTTGGGAACAATTCTTTACCTCTCTGAGCCTCGGTTTTCTCCTTGCCCTGGGCTACATGATCTAGCCTCTGCCTAGCTGTCTTCCTTTTGCTCAATCTGTTCTAGCCACTCTGGCCTTGTTGAACACACCAAGTTTGTTCCTGCCTCAGGGCCTTTGCATGTCTCTTCCATCTGCTTGGAATTCTCTGTCCCGTATCTCCACATGACCAGGGCCTTCCTGTCATCAGCCTTCAGTTCCCTAATCACCATGACTAACCTAGTTCCCACTCCTCCTCTGCACCTCTCTCATTTGTTTTCTTTACTATTAGAAAATGATTTTGTTTATTTACTTCTCTACTGTCTGTCTCCCCCACTAGAATATTGTCAGGGATTTGTCTGTCGTATTCACAGCTGCGTTCCCAGCTCCTAATGTTAAAAAAAAAATAGGACTCATTGCTGTCAAGTCAATTCCAACTCATAGTGACCTTATAGGACAGAGTAGAACTGTCCCATAGTGTTTTCAAGGCTATAATCTTTACAGAAGCAGACTGCCATATCTTTCTCCCACCAAGTGGCTGGTGGGTTCGAACCGCCAACTTTTCAGTTAGCAGCCAAGTGCTTAACCACTGCACCACCAGCGCTCCTGGCTCCTAGCATAATGCCTGGTACATAGTAGGTGCTCAGTAAATATTCACCACCTGAAAGAGTGGGTGTATGTCATGGAGCTGGATTTGAACTTAGGTCTATGGGCCCCAAAGCCCATGTGCCTTGTCCTGTACTTTAATTCCTCTTATATTCTCTGAAGTTTATTGAGCCCTCTTGGGTTGGAGGCAGGTAGCAGAGGCTTCTGATTCTGGCCTCTGCTTTTCATGGTATCCCTGGCCCCTGACCACCCTTCCCCTCCCCTCTTCACCTGGGGTAACTGCTGTTCCCAGTGAGAATCCTTCCGAGCGGATATTCCTTCTCCCCGACTGTGACTGGGGGGCTCACTTCCAGGTTCCCAAACGAATCTAGACCAGTGATTTGTCCTATTTTGGCCCCTCGAGTCATGTAGCCAAAATCTGGGCCCTGAAATGGAAGAAGTATGCAGCAAGAGTTAGAGAAAGGAGTCCCTGGCTGAAGAGAGGGTGAGGTCCAAGTCTGAAAGATTAACTTGGTTACAAGAAGGAATTCAATAAACTGCCAGTGGGTAGCGCATAGTAGGTGCTTCAACATTATGGACCGTCGACAGAATGTCGAATCAGGTGATAAGAAAAGGGACTAGCATTTGTTGGGTACCTAATGCGTGCCAGCTGCTTCGCAAACCTTGTTGTTGTTAGTTACCTTCGAGTCAGCCCCATACACAATGGAAGGAGACACTGCCTGGTCCTGCATCAGCCCCACAATGGTTGCAGATTAGACTATGGTGCTCCAACGAGTTTTCATTGGCTGATTTTTGGAAGTAGATCGCCAAACCTTTCTTCCGAGTTTTAGTCTAGAAGCTCTGCTAAAACCTGTTTAGCATCCTAGCAACACTCAAGCCGCCACTGACAGAAAGGTGGTGGCTGTGCATGAGATACCTTGGCCAGGATGCGAACCCAGGTCTCCCACATGGAAGACGAGAATTCCACCACTGAACCACTACCACCCTCCTTCGTAAACCTTCACTTGGGCTTAATAACAAATCTGTAAATATCATTTTATCCTTATTTTGCAGATGAAGAAACTGAGTTCAGAGTGGTAGTATGGCTGCCCACAAAGCCCCAGAGCCAGTTTGTAGAAGAGCCAGGATCTGAGCTTCCTCTCCAGCAAGAGCTCCTGGCTATGCTAGGCTGTGTCTTCATCTTGGCTGGAATGCGCTTCACAGAATGGCTGTGACGTTCCATGCAGGTCTTCACGAAGGACCAGGGGTCCAGCTCTCACTCCCTGCGTGAGTCTCCTAGGGCTCCTGTAACATGTTACCACAAACGAAGCAGCTTAAAGCAACACAAGTGTATTCCCTCATAGTTCTGGAGGTCAGAAGTCCAAAATCAGTCTCACTGGGATAAAGTCAAGGTGTCCACAGGGCTGGTTCCTTCTGGAGGTTCTACCAGTACCAGTACCAGATGTTGTCGTCGTTGTTGGGTGCCATCGAGTCGGTTCCGACTCATAGCGACCCTATGTACAACAGAACAAAACACTGCCCAGTCCTGCGCCATCCTCATGATCATTGCTATGCTTGAGCCCATTGTCGCAGCCACTGTGTCAATGCATCTCATCGAGGGTCTTTTTCTTTTTCACTGACCCTCTACTTTACCAAGCATGATACCCTTCTCCAGGGACTGAGACCTCCTGATAACATGCCCAAAGTATGTGAGACAAAGTCTCTCCATCCTTGCTTCTAAGGAAGATTCTGGCTGTACTTCTTCCACGACAGATTTGTTCATTCTGGCAGTCCACGGTATATTCAATATGCTTCGCCAACACAGTAATTCAAAGGCATCAATTCTTCTTCGGTCTTCCTTATTCATTGTCCAGCTTTCGCATGCATATGAGGCAACTGAAAACACCATGGCTTGGGTCAGGTGCACCTTAGTCCTCAAAGTGACATCACACACCAGCACCAGTACCAGATGCCATCTCAACAGCTCCAACTCATGGTGACACCATGTGTGTCAGGATAGAGCTGTGCTCCATAGGGGCTTCAATGGATGATTTTTTTCAGAAGTAGATCGCCAGGCCTTTGTTCTGGGGTGCCTCTGGGTGAACTCGAACCTCCAACCTTTTGGTTAGCAGCTCAGTGTGTTAACTGTTTTCACCACCCAGGGACTCTCTGGAGGCTTTAGGGGAGCCTTGTGCAGTTTCCAGTGGCCACCTTGGCTCATGGCGCTTCCTCCATATTCAAATAGAATCATTCCAATCTTTGCTTCACTCATCACAACACCTTCTCCCACTCCGGCCCTCCTGCCTCCGTCTCATCGGAGTGTTATGATTACAGTGGGTTCACCTAGATAATCCAGGATAATCTCCAATCTCAAGATCCTTAATTTAATCACTTCTGCAAAATCTCTTTTGCCATAAAAAGTAACACTCATGGGCTTCAGAGATTAGGATTTGGTCATATCTGAGGGGCCATTATTCAGCCTACCACATACCTTAGGAGAGGATGTAGCCTCTTAGCTCTGTTGTTAGTTGCCACCGAGTCGGCTCCAACTCATGGTGACCCCACGTACAACAGAATGAAACACTGCCCCATCCTGCACCATCTTCACGATCATTGGTATGCTTGAGTCCATTGTTGCGACCCTGGTGTCTTTTGAGTGCCTTCCAATTAGGGAGCTCATCTTTCAGCACTATATCGGACAATATTCTGTGTGATTCCACAGAATTTTCATTGGCTGAAATTTGGAAGTAGATTGCCAGGTCTCTCCTCCTAGTCTGTCTCAGTCTGGAAGCTCAGCTGAAAACTGTCCAACAAGCAAGCCACCACAGTATGAAAAACTGATCTTCCACAAACCAATGATCTATTCCCTGAAGCTCCATGGACTCCCTGAAAGTAGATTCTAAATTGTGCACCTGGGTGCATTTTCCTGGGAAGATGAGTAGTCTCAAGGAGGTCTGTGATGCCAAAAGTTTAAAAACCATCATTTCCAATTTCTGTCCTCCTTTTCTCTCTAAAACTCATACCAAACTGACTTTCACCCCCAAGGTCTGAGTTCCAACTTCTCCACTCACTTTTTGTGTGACTTTGAGAAAGTTGCTTCACCTCACAGAGCTTCAGTTTCCTCATCTGTAAAATGGGCCTATTAATAGTATCTACATAAAAGGTTATCAGATGAATTAAATGAGTCAATGCAAGTAAAGAATTTAGCAGTGTGACTGACACAGAATGAATGCTCAACTTTCATCGTTATTATTGCTGTTATTATTATTCTGTGCTGAGTTTGCATGAACTTGCCAGGCTAGTCAAGCATAACTCAGCATTATGTCACCTGCCCCCCTCACACACACACAGACTTTGGCCGGTAAAGTCATGACCAGGGAATAACCACTCTGGTCCTGGAAACCACCACATCTCGGATGGAGCCTTGAGGACCTGACTCTGCCCCAAAAATAGAACCTCCAAGTGGATGTTGGGAAAGGTACCAATCCTGGCTCCACTCCCACCTTGCCGCAAGAACATCTCCAGTCCAACAAGGATGCCTGCGCCTCACCTATCCCTCAGCAGGGTTATCTTGAGGACAAGGTGAGCTCATGGGTGGAAAGGGCTTTGGGAAATGAGCCAGATCTTTGCATCATAGCAACAACAAAAATAACCAGCCCCACCTGCACCACCCCCAAGCAAGCAGGAATTCCACTTGTGGGAACTGGGCTGCTCAGCCCGCAGCGGTGGGGGTTGGGGGACAGGCTAATGAGGAAGGCAAGGAGGTTTTGGCAGCTGGTGACCCCCACCACCGTGCAGGTACCAGCAAGTGCTTCATGGGGAAGTCCTTCAGCCCTCTGTTCCGTGGGGAGTCGAAGACCACTGGCAGCGTTTTATGCCGGGCTTGGATGTAGCCAATCTCCATTTCATCCTGTGCAGAATGAGCGGAAAGGAGGTTGTTAGACGTGCTGCCCTGGTCTTGGCACCTAGTGCAGGGATGGGGGGCGTGGAGCCATCCACACTCTCTCGCCCTTGGAGTCCTGTGAAATATTTGACCCCAGAGAAGGGAGTCTGGGAAAGCAGAGCTTAGTGTCCTGTGTTTGCCTGGCACAGAAACAAGTGGTGAAACCCTTGATGCGCCCTTCACCCTTACTCCTGCTGTGTGCCCTGCCTGGGTGCTGGGTTCCACGTCCTCAAGGAACCTGTCCCTCAAGGTGAGTGAGCCAGGGAGCTGGGCAGCTACTATCCCACTTTAGCGGGGTGATGGGAGGCGAAGTCACAGGTCTGTGGGGACACAGATGAGGGCCTCCTCATGCTGTTGGGGTTGGGGCTGGTCAGAGAAGACTTCCTGAAGGGAGGAAGACCTGGAGGGTGAGTAAGAACAGCCCCTCCCCCACAGCCTCCTGCCTGCCCCAAAGGAAGGCAGGTAAGGCCCCAACAGAGCCCATGGGGTAAGGGGAAGGGGGGTTCAGAGACGAATCTGGTCAAATCCTGCTTCCAGGGGCTTGTATTCTAGTAGGCAGATGTGATATTGGGCAGAAATCACTATTAAGTTGAACTATATGAAATTGCCATATTTGTGGGTCAAAAAATGTTGACATAATGGTAATTTCATATGGTTCAACCTGACATCATAAAGATAGAATGACAAGAAAGAAAATGGGGATTTGGAAGAAAGGGAGATGAATTCTCACCGGTGGGTTGGAGAAGCCTACGGAGGGGGCACATTCAAGCTGGGATTCGATGGGGATAGAAGGAATGGCATGGGCAAAGGTGTGGAGGTGGGGCAGCAGGGGAATGGCATGGGAGGCAGAGATCTGAAGGAGAAAGGAGGTTTGGGCAGCCCACCAACTGCCCACTGGACGGCTCCCTGGTGCTAGGCTTTGGGGTGCTGAGCTGAATGATACTCAGTCTCTGCCTCAAGGAGCTCACGTGTGATATGCGAGGCAGGCATAGAAACAGAGCCTGGCCCTCTGGTGTGGCCGGTGCAGGGAACGGCTGGGCTAGGAACGCAGCCAGGGTGGGTGGGCCCCGGAAGCAGACTAAGGAGGAGGCCATGGGAGCCACTGCAAGCCTGGGGGCTGGGCCAGGAAGGCCGACTTGTGGGAGGAGCACTTGAGGGAACGGTTGAGGATTGAGCCCCCTGAGCTTTGCAACCTCTCTGAGGCCATCTGAGAGTTCTCCAGCAGGGAGGTGGCTTTCATTTCAGTGACGGTGGGTATGCAGTGGCCTGCAGTCAATGTCAGTTGACTCATTGGCCCAAGCCCCCTTATGCAGGGCCACTCAGAGGCACCTAACTCCCTGCCCATCTGAGAAAGGGCGGCTGCTAAGGCGCTGGGCTGGGCCCCAGTCACATGGAACCCCTAATGTCCTTTGCCCCATGTGCCCCAGACCACCTGCCCTTGCCCACCTGTCCCGCAGGGCCAACGTACCTGGATCCACCGGTCGTTCTTGTTCTCCTCCTCACAGCAGATGGTCAGCTTGCACTTGGCTTTCTTGGCCAGAGCAGTCACTGACTTCAGGAAGTTCCCGTTATCGAAAACACTGGACAGAGCAGAAAAGCAGCCCCTCAGTGCTCTGGATTCAGCCAATGGCCTGGGCTGGGCTCTGAGCAGGCAAGTTGGATGGCCTCGGTGTCCCCTAGGGGGCGCCAGAGCCCAGGCCTGGACAGAGTGGGAGGTGCACGCAGTAGGTGCCCAGGAGACACTTGTCGGCCTGGCTCGTCCTGTCTCTCTGCTCTTAACAGGATTATCTATTTAATCCTCATAGCCCAAGAGGTGGGAGCTAGCAGGAACCCCCTTTCACCAGGAGGAGACAGAGCGTGGCGGTCACGCCACCTGGGGACAGCTCTGGGATTCAAACCCAGGCCTCTGTGGTGTCCAGCCTGCGTCCTAACCATCAGGCCACACTTTCACTCCTTCTGACCCTAAAGCAACTAGAAGAGAAGAGGGGAGGGTGGCCCTGAGGCTCCGCACACTTATCAGGGGCTCTCAGACTACAGCACGGATGCCTGGGGCGTCCCCAGAGACAAGACCCAACTGGTCAGCCAGGAATGTGCATTTTAAGCAAGTTTCTAGGTGTTTCTGATGCAGGAGGTTCACGGACCACGCTGAGAAACCCTGGAAGCCTGGCTCAGGGACTCAGCCAGCATCATGGCAGGATAACAACCACCGCAACAATTTTTCCCATTCATACAGCGAGTGCGTGGTGGGCTGTGGCCAGAACCCAGGGCTCCTGATTCCCAGTCCAGGACTCCTCCTGATATATCAGTGCCCCCCACCCCCAGCACTCCAATGCCCCTCACCTGCACACATACACTTCCTGCGGGGGCTGGGTGTTGGGGGTCATGATCCACGGGGCCACGCGAAAGGTCACGCTATCTTGGAAAACCAGTGCTTCAGGGGTCTCCTGTGGGGAGCAGGGTGGGGAAGGGGTCATCACAGCAGCCAGGGTCCAACACCTACTGCTTCCCTGGTGGTTTTTTTGGGTCCCTCTCCCTAACTGGGTTCTGCACTCCCCCTCCCAGCTGGGCCACTACTTGAAGCCCAGCCCCCACTCTGAGCTGCCATCTTGGCTTACCGAGTCGGATGTGTCCAGCAGGGAGATGCCGAGGGAGATGAGCCCGGGGAAGTTGGCATCCGGGAAAGAGAGGCCCTCCACATAGAAGTTGGTGCTGTGCTGGCCGCTGGGGAGCTCCAGGGCATGAGACGGCTGCTGGGGTCCCAGGACCACCCTGTACTCGGAGGGCAACTTGCCCCCTAAGAGAAGGGCAGGGGAGGCTCAGGTCTGCACCCCACCTCTGAAGACCCTGTTTCTTCTCCCTGGTGTGGTGATACCTTTCCCAGAGCCACCACGTGGACCCCACTGGAGGCCTCTCACAGCCAAATCCGGCTGGAGCCTTCCTTTGGGAGTACAGGACCAAAGTTCAGTTGAGGTGTTCCTCCCCAGCCTAGGGGGGATAGGAAGGGAGTGGCAGGGGTACCTGAGCCATTGCCAACTTTATAGGAAGTCCAGTATACATCATGGCTCATTCATTCATTGATTCATTAATTTATTCCCAAGCACCTGTTCCAGCCAGATCTCAGCTGAGACCTGGGGATATCAGGGAGACAGTCACTGTCCTCGCCCCCAGAGTGTGCACAGTCTGTTGGTGAGTAGGAGGAGCACAGACAGTCTGAATAACAGGGGGTGTTAGGTGTGTGTTGGAGGGAAGTCTAGAGGGCCAGGGAGGTTTTCCTGGAGGAGGCGATGCCTAATGTGTCACCAAACTAATGTCAGTTGAATTACTTTGGTATAGAAAGGAGTCCCTGGGTGGCTCAACTGCTAGCTGAAAGGTTGGTGGTTTGGATCCACCCAGAGGCACGTCGAAAGACAGCCCTGGCGATCTGCTTCTGAAAGGTCAAAGCCTTGAAAACCCTATTGGAGCAGTTCTACTCTGCACACGTGGCACGGCCATGAGTTGGAATCTACTGAGAAGAATGGAAGTAAGTCAGATCCCATTTCGTCTCTGCACAAAACCATCTGATTGGCCTCCCCCATCTTGTAGGCGAGTCAGTAGAAGCCTACTTGAGCTGCCCCTTTCTTCTCTGCCCTCATCTACCACTCTCCTCCTTGCATACCCTACTCCAGCCCCACTGGGCTCCTTGCATTCCCCTAGCCCACAGGTGTGATGTCACCTCAGGGCCTTTGCATTTGCTGTTCCCTCGGCCTGTAATGCCCTCACCCCACCCCCTCCCCACCCCCCACCAGTATCTGCTATTATCACACCTCCTCCTGCTCACATGACAACTATCAGGGAAGCCTTTCCTGACCACCCTCTCTACACACTCTGACTCTACCCCTTACTTCACATCCCCTTCCCTGTTGTATTTTTCTACATAGCATTTGTCATGGATTGAATTATTTGCCCCAAAAAATGTGTGTATCAACTTGGCTGGGTCATGATTCCCAGTATTGTATGATTGTGTACCATTTGGTAATCTGATGTGACATCCTTATGTGTTGTAAACTCTATCACTATCATGTAATAAGATGGATTAGCGGCAGTTATACTGATGAGGTCTACAAGATTGGATGGTGTCTTAAGCCAACCTCTTTTGAGATATAAAAGGGAGAAGCAAGCAGAGACGCACGGGAACCTCACACCACCAGTGCCAGGAGCAGAGCGCATCCTTTGGACCAGAGGTTCCTGAGCTGAGACGCTCCCAGACCAAGGGAAGACTGATGCATCACAAGGACCTTCCTCCAGAGCCGACACAGACAGAAAGCCTTCTCCTGGAGCTGATGCCCTGAATTTGGACTTGTAGACTCCTCGACTGCGAGAAAATAAAATTCTCTTCGTTAAAGCCGTCCACTTGTGGTATTTCTGTTATAGCAGCACTCGATGACTAAGACAGCATTTGACATCATCTGACACACTCAGTACTTTACTTAATTTTACATATCATCTCTCATCCCTCTAAGATGAAAGCAACGTGAGGGCGGGGACTTTTGTTTGTTGCTCTGTGCTCCAAGTCTAGAACTGAGACTGACACTTAGTAGCAGACGTTCATGCACTGCTGAGCAATTACTGATGTCTTTCATTTGCAGGAGAAATTCCTGGGTGGTGTAAATGGTTAATGTGCTTCGCTGCTAACTGAAAGGTTGGAGGTTCAAGTCCACCCAGGGGCACCTTGGAAGAAATTCCTGGCAATCTACTTCTGAAAAACCAGCCATTGAAAATCCTATGGAGGACACAGTTCTACTCTGACACACCATGGGTCACCATGAGTTGGAATCAACTCCACGGCAACTGGTTTCGGTTTTGATTGGCAGGATGTTGGAGAATGAATTATTGCCTAACACATGCAGTCTGCTTGGATTCAAAATCTCTGTAAACATGAGTCCATTGTGTGTGTGTGTGTGTGTGTGTGTGTGTGTGTGTGTGTGTGTGTCTGAGAGAGATAGACAGACAGACACTGAGAGAAGCAGAGAACAGTGACAAGAGTCCTTGGGAAGAGTTTATTTTCTTCACAGGGCTCACTAGCACCAGGCATTATCTCATTTGTGTATGCGTGCTTGCATTTTGTCTGTGTTGCCCTCTAGAAGGTAGTGGCAGAGATGCTGTCTGTTTTGCCCATGCTGCCATCCTTGGTTCTTAGAACCTGGCTCATAGTGGGTGCTCAGAAATTACCCACTGAAGGGGCTGTGCCCCATTGGTTGGGGTAGGTGGGGATCACAGATGGGGAGAAAGGGTCAGAGGCCAAGGACAACTCACATTTGGCTTGAAACACACGCACTTTGTTCATCTCTTTTTTGGCCACGTGGAGCACCAGTTTATACTTGGTGAAGAAATCTTTGGGGGTCTTCGTGCTCAAGGTCATCAGGGACATGTCCTGCAGGTCTGGAATGAGAAGAGCATGGCCTGAAATGCAGGTCCTGAGACCCCTGCCTGGCCAGACCTGCACAGACACATGGCTAATCTCCTGTTAGCCACCCCCTGGCGGGGGCTCACTATCCTCCACCCCTCATCCTCGAGACCACTCTTTATCACGTCGCCCAATTTTATTTTCTCTACGCTATTTCCAGTGTTTGAGATGATCTGTCTCATTTTGGAAGGGTGTTAGGTTTTTGGTCTTCCACTAGGATGTAAGCTCAGTAAAGGCAGGGACCATGCTTAGCCTGTTCATTGCTGTGTTCCCAGCACGTGGAACCTAGAAGCACCTAGAACAGTGACTAGCACATGGCAGGTGCTCGATAACTATTTGTAGAATGAATGGGTGCGAAGATTTCTTCTTACCGTCCTGGGCAGGAAGTGAAGTTTGTGAACTAACTTGAACAATAATGACAAAGGCATGAGGAGGGTGATGCTTTCAAGCAATGGTTTCTGATGGACTGGATGAGAGTCAAGGGGCTAAGGGCTTTGGAGTCAGCCAGGTATGAATCTTGACTCCGTGTGAGCTTGGAACAGTTATCTCAGTTCCTGGTGCCTCAGTTTCCTCATCAGTAAGACAGGACTGTGATGGTTCATTTTATGTGCCAACTTGGCTAGGCTATGGTTCCCAGTTGATTTGGCCAAACACTAGACCAGTTGCTGTTCCATAATGTAATCTAACGCAGTGTAATGTAATCACATTCCATAATGTAATCTAATGCAATGTAATCAATCAATCATTTGAGAGGCAAGTTCCTTAGGACGTGGTCAGCCTCCAAACTTTAAATAGATACTTTGGCAGAACTTGCTCTCTCTCTTTATTCTGCACTTTTCCTGTCTGCTGAACTACAGATCTTGGGATGCCATCCTGCAATAGTCTCCAGCCTGCCACCTGCTCTACAATTTTGAAGTTGCCAGCCCCGACAATCACATAAGCCAAATCCCTTGAAGTAAATTCTCTCTCTTTCTCTGTATATACATACATCTATATCACTTGTTCTGTTTCTCTAGAGAACCCTAAGACAAGGGCTAAGAGTAGTGCCCACCCTTAGGGCTGTCATGCAGGTAAGATGAGGTAACGCATATAAAATGCTTACTGCAGTGTCTGGCACCCTAGGGGTACTCACAGAGGGCCATGACTTTGTACCAGGCACTGTGTAGAGGCTGTCCCCTGGCCTCAGGCCAGACCAACTGGATGCAACTTTACAATGCATCCATTTCTGTGTTATCCTAGCAGCTCCCCAGGAAGGCAACAGCCACTGCCCTGGCGTCACCAACCTCACCCCCTTAGCACCCTCCTCCAGCAAATGGGCGATGTCATGTCATCCACCCTGGCCACAGCTCATTAGCCCAGAGATGTGACAGGGGAGCCCTGCCCCCTTGCCTAGCCCACCACCCTCCTTGTGCCCCTAAACCTGTCCTGGTGTCAGAATGCCCAGGTTCAAATCCTAAGCCTGCTACTTATTAGCTGTGTAACTTTGGGCCAATTGCTTCTCTGTGCCTTGGTTTCCCTACCTGTAGAATGGGGATGATGATAGTGTATACTTCTTAGCTTTGTGTTAAAGGATCAGATGAGTTAATGATTCTGAAGTGCTCAGAGCAGTGCCTGGATCTGGCAGGGACCCAGGGGTTGCTGTGGCATGCATCTGGGGCAGGTTTTCATTTGGGATTATTTTGGGCTCCAAGTTTGCCTCAATAGCAGAAGTTTGAGTTGGACAGGAAGCAAGGACATGGGAACTGAAGCCTGGAGAAGACTCAGCATTGGTCCCAGCTCTTCTCTGACTGCTGTGTGACCTTGGGCAGGTCACTTACCCCTTCAGGGTCTTTTCTCATTTCTTCACCTATAAAATGAACATCCTAACAAGAACATGCTTTCAATAACCCTATTTCAGAGGGCTGATAGGAGGCTCAGGCCATGTGCCAAAACCCCATTCCCCCTGGCTATCAGGGGTCTTTACCTTTGCCACTGTTCACCTCATTATTCATCAAGTCCATGGTAGAGGATCTGGGATCGTCTTTGTCACAGTTCACCAGCAGGATGGCGCCCTGTCCGCGAGGGCCCCAGGTCCAGGTCCTCTGTGGACACCCAGGAGAGATGGGGCACACTTAGGAACCCTCATAGAGCCCCCGAACTCTTGGGAGAAGCAGAGCTATCTTCCCTCATCTTCTCATCAGCTTCCTGCAGGTTACACATCCCGCTCCCACATCAAATAACTCTTTTGTCTCAGAAGTGGATTTTTGCCTGCCTACAAAATCATAAACACAGGCACCAAAAATGCAGTCCATGGTTTTTCAAAAGGTGCCGAAGTCGGTAGAATGGACTTCAACAACTTTTTAAAACTGTTGACTTGACAAACCAAGTTGAGCTAAATATTTATGTCAAGATTCTAATCTAAATAGTTACTATTATGTGAACCCTTAAGTACTTATTTGCCGAAGTGTGAGTCTATTCTTAGCAGCCAGGTACTGTCTGGTCAAAGATGAAGGCAAATTAAGTGGCCCTGCCCGGTAGGGAAACTAATACTGACAACACCTTCCGTTGGTTGGAGAGCATTTGCCACTGGGGATGACTAGATTTTGAGTGGGAAGAAAAGAGTGGATTCCTGGAAAACACTACGGGGCAGTTCTACTCTGCACACATGGGGTCATCATGAGTCTGCATTGACTCAACAGCAACTAACAAGCACAGCAAGGGGATTTTGAGCCAGAGAGACCTGCTTACAAATCTTTTCTCTGCTTTGTGTTAGCTGGTGACTCTATAGTTTCCAGGGCAACACATTTTCTGAATCCACAAACGGTGAAAATCTAGTCTCGTAAAAGAGATGGGAAATATATAAACCAAAATGGGAATGGTGATTTTAATTTCCTTCTTCTTTTCTTTTTTTGTTTTTACTTTCTGTAATACATGAGACAGACTGTTGTTCACTTCAGCACCACAAGGGGTGGCCCCAGGAGAACCCAGCAGAGCTAAAGGGAGCCGATGGGGATGACGGTGGTCAAGGTTGCGAGGTACCTGGTGATTCCCGGCTCTTCCGGTCGGCTTCACTTTGCCCGGCTTCACTTTGGCCGCGCGGCTGATGTCCGTGCGCAGGGAGATTTCTGAAATCCCACCAAATGAGAGGAGAAAGTTGGTGACGGTATAGGCTGGGGGCTCACCTGGCCCTGGATGGGCAGGCCGTTAGTGCAGAAGACTCTGTGCACCGAGGGTGGGAAGCATCGCTCCCTCTCCTTTCCCAGGAGACACAGGCTCAAAGAATCCCTCCGCACCAGGGCCCTCAAGAGAGATGGCTGCCATTCAGACAGCAGAGCGAGGACTTCTGCCAACATCCATTCTCCTTCAAGGGGCCACAACTGTGGTGCAAAGTGGGCCGTAGATGTCCTGCCTTCCCCCGGAGTTTCGGAAAGCCATGCAAGGACATCTCGCTTGGCTCTCAAAGCTCTGGCCCCAGCTCCAGCCCCTGGTGACTTTGGCTGTTTCCCTAGTTAATACGAACTGTTTATATGCTCGAATGATCAGGCTGACCAGCATATATAAAACATTGTTTAGATATTTAATACACATTTAAATAATAATATCATGATTATTGCTCAAGATGAGGACAAGTTTAAAAATGGATTTTATTTAAAGAAGAATATTAAAAATATATATTAGTATAGGCAGATCATTGATATGGCAAAAATTGTGAGGATGGAATATATCACGGAAATTTGGAAACTCTGGTCTATATTATTCTATAATACATCTTTTGTGATAAATATTTGAGGAGTTGAAAAGTTATAGAGACTCATATTGAAAAATCCATGTACCCACCACCTAACTTGAAAAATAAAATACTAATAAGATGTAATCGAAGCTTCCTACACACCCCTACCAATTGTATTTTTTGTGGTTCACTGACTCATGAGGGAATACTTATGAACTAACAGATGTATGCCTGGCTAGAACCTGTTCTTTTTCTCTGCTCAGTCTAAAATAAGCTCCAGAGAAGAGCTGGCGAGATGCCTTGCAGATGTGTGTGTGTGTGTGTGTGTGTGTGTGTGTGTGTGTGTGTGTGTGTGTGTGTAGGGGGTGGCTGGTGCTCCAGGATCCTGGTCATCACTTACCGACTCCAGTGAGGTAGAGCAGGGCTTGGGTTGGCTGGGACTGGGGTCCACAGTATGAAATTCGAACCTACAGGACAGCAGCAGACCACTAATGACTTCTCTTATTCATTCAACAAACACTGACTGGCCCCCTGCTATGTGCCAGCTCAGGGCTGGGCAATGGGGAGACAAGGATGGGCAAGACATAGTCCCAGCCTGTAAGGAGTGCCCCAGCTGGTGGAGAGAGAGGGCTAGCAAACAACTCAAATAACTATGATGTTGTAGAAGGTTCTATGGGAACCCAGAAATTGAGTGACTCACTCTGCTTGGGGGTGTCGGGGAGGATCTAATGAAGAGGTACACAGTGGAAGAGGTATTAGAGGGAGAGAGTTGGTTACAGGCACATAAAGTGAGTCTGGAGAGCAAAAGGGATTAAGGAAAGACCTGAAGAACCAGACCTCAGAGAGGCTAGAGCCCAAGCCCTGGGAGAATCTGGGGAGCAGGAGCTTTACGTGGGTCGTGGTCTCTTTAGGGTGGGTGCTATTGAAATTAAGAAACACCAATCCCCTTTGCCCAAGGTTCAAAATCCAGGGAGAACACCTCTGATTGGCTCAGCCTGTCCAGAGGAGGGCAGAGTATCTGGATTGACAATTCCAAGCAAAATAGCAGTGGGAAGTTCCCCCAAGCAAAATCAAAGAGCTGCCACCAGAAGAAGAGGAACTCCTGAGGAGACTGATGGAGCCCACTGAAGTATTTGGACCTGCCCTGTAGAGAGTGGGGAGTCCAGGGAAACGTCATGGCCACTGTTGCCTCTTGTATAAACCAAGGCATCAGTCTCCTGACTGGCCTCCCTGCCTCCAGTCTACACCCTAGTCCTACTTGCTACACTTCAGCCAGTGGGATCTTTCTAACATACAAATGTGATTCTGGCAGAAAATTTTTCACTGGCTTCCTGTTGCCCTCAGAAAATTGCCAAACCCTTTATACTGACTCCCTCTCTCACCCACTTTCCTCACCACCCTCCCATCTTGCCAGGTAGAACTGCCTCAGTTTCTCCAACATGTTTCCCACCCTCTTCTCATCCAGAGTATGCACACAGGCCGCCTCCTCTAGGTAAAGCTCTCACTTATATGGGCCACTCGTACCCATCCTTCAGCTTGCCACTTCTTCCAGGAGGTTTTACCTGACCATCCCCTCCTTGACCTGACTGAATGCCCCAGCTCTGTGTTCCCACAGCAGGTGATAACTTTCTGGTCCCAGGGAGGAGGCTGCTTGGCCCATCCTTCTGGGAGAGAGTGGCCGTTGGCTCAGATCTCTCTGTGCGAACCCTTGAGGATCCTGTTTGGCCCATCTACAGTCAAAGGAATGCAGTGGGTTCAATGATAATCCCCAAAAAGATATGTCCACGTCCTAATCTCTGTGAGTGTTGGGAGCTGTGAGTGTTGCCTTATTTGGAAACAGGGCCTTTGCAGATGTAATTAAGAATCTCGAGATGAGGAGTTCATCCTGGATTATGGAGGTGAGCCCTGGACAAGTGTCCTTATAATGACAAGTGTCCTCATAGGAGTGAGGAAGAGGGAGATTACACAGAGATGAGAAGGAGCAACGTGACCATGGAGGCAGAGATTAGAGTGATGCAGCCATAAATCAAGGAATGCCAACAGCCAACAGAAGCTGGAAGAGGCAAAGACCTGAGTCTCCACTACAGCCTCCACAGGGAGTGTGGCCCTGAGGGCACCTTGATTTTGGACTTCTGGCCTCTGCAACTGTGAAAGAATAAATTTTTGTTGTTTTAAGCCAATAGTTTTCGGCAATTTGTTAGAGCAGCCACAGAAAGCTAATACAAGATACATGGAGCAGAGTTCCCTGGGACTTCCTGCCTGTGGGCTTCCTAGTATTCACCGCCATTTGTAATTCTTGCTTATTTACCTGTATATTATCTGATGCCTTCACTCATGTGTTGTAAGCCCCATGAGGACTGCGACATCATCTGTCTTGTTTATTTCTATATCCCAGAGCCTAACAGTGTCTAGCATGCAGTAAATACTCACTAAACATTTGCTGAATAAAAGAATTTAATCCAAGCCCTGGTATCCATAACCCCCTGGTATCCCTATAGTATTGTCTGTGAGGATGCTATGGCTGGAACAAGCCATCTGAGCCTTTTCAGAGGGAAGGAGGCTCTGCCAGGGCTGGGGCTGTGGATTAAGGCAGGACAGACTGTGAGTAGTTTCTGCCCTGCTGACCTACTCCCACACATCCCATTGCACAGCAGCCACACTCACCTTCTGGTCACTGATGCTACTGCTAGAAGCTTTCATCATCACGGTCACCTCCAGCCTAGGGTCCAGGGGCCATGTGGAAGAACCTGTGGGATTCTTCTTGACTGGACGGATGTGGGCAACATTCACGACCACTTCTGGGGAGGCACTGATGCTGAAGGATGTGCAGCCATTGGGGGCAGAGCTGTGGAAGAAAAAGATAGAGGAACAGAGAGACCAAGTGAGGAAGGGCCTGGCCCATTCTACTCTCCTCAGCATTTCTCCTTTTTCTACAGGATCACTTTTCTTTGGAATGAGCATATAGCTGTCTTCCAAATTTCTTAGCATAGACAAGTGAGCACCTCCGGTGCTGCATTCATTTGTCAAAACATCTCAATTGGTATTCCGTCAGTTTCTGGATCCTTATTTTTCACCAGTGCTTTTCGTGCAGCTTGGACTTCTTCCTTCAATACCATTGGTTCTTGATCATATGCTACCTCCTGAAATGGCTGAACGTTGACCAATTATTTTTGGTACAGTGACCGTGTGTATTCCTTCTATCTTCTTTTGATGCTTCCTGCATTGTTCAATATTTTGCCCATAGAACCTTCAATATTGCGGCTCGAGGCTTGAATTTTTCTTCAGTTTTTTCAGCTTGAGAAATGCTGAGCATGTTCTTCCCTTTTGGTTTTCTAACTCCAGGTCTTTGCACATTTCATTGTAATACTTTACTTTTTCTTCTCGAACCACCCTTTGAAATCTTCTGTTGAGCTCTTTTACTTCATCATTTCTTCCAGTGGCTTTAGCTACTGTACATTCAAAAGCAAGTTTCAGAGTCTCTTCTGACATCCATTTTGGTGTTTTCTTTCTTTCCTTTCTTTTTAACGACCTTTTGCTTTCTTCATATATGATGTCCTTGATGTCATTCTACAACTCGTCTGGTCTTCGGTCATTAGTGTTTAATGCATCAAAACTATTCTTGAGATGCTCAAGGTGGGATATATTCAAGGTTGTATTTTGGCTCTTGTGGACTTGTTTTAATTTTCTTCAGCTTCAGCTTGAACTTGCATATGAACAATTGAGGTCTGTTCCGCAGTCACCCCTTGCCTTGTTTTGACTGATGATATTGAGCTTTTCTATCATCTTTTTCCACAGATGTAGTTGATTTGATTCTTGTGTATTCCATCTGGCAAGATCCACGTGTATAGTTACTATTTATGTTGACGAAAAAAGATATTTGCAATGAGTAAGTCTTTGGTCTTGCAAAATTCTATCATGTGATCTCCAGCGTCGTTTCTATCACCAAGGCCGTATTTTCCAACTACTGATCCTTCTTCTCTGTTTCCAACTTTCACATTCCAATCACTAATAATTATCAATGCATCTTGATTGCATGTCCAGTCAATTTCAGACTGCAGAAGTTGGTAAAAATCTTCAATTTCCTTATCTTTGGCCTTAGTGGTTGTGCGTAAATTTGAATAAATAGTCACATTAACTGGTCTTCCTTGTGAGCATATGGATATTATCCTATCACTGGCAGAGTTGTACTTCAGGATAGATCTTGAAATGTTCTTTTTGACAATGAATGTGACGCCGTTCCTCTTCAATTTATTGAAGATTTTACACCCACACATATGTGCACAAATGAAGAATCACAGACTTCTGTTTCTAGGATTATGGCAGACTAGATATTCTGAAGGACATTCCTCTTACAAAACAACTGGATCATGAATAAAATATACTTTTGAAACCATTGCTTAGATCATGAGAAGTAAGGGAAATATTTAAGGAATCTCTTCTCTGTGTGTGCACATGCGCACACATGCACACACACACCCACATACAGTGGTTAAACTAAAGAACACTAAAGACAAAAAGAAGACCTTAAAGGCATCTAGAAGGAAAAGTCAGATTATCTATAAAGGAATATCAATTAGATTGAAAGACTTCTCAACAGCAACAATGAAATCCAGGAGATAGTTGAATAATATATTTGAAGTATTTTGAAAAAAAACTATTAATCTAGAATTGTGCACCCAACAAAACTTTCTTTTAATAAAGACATTTCAGATGAGCAAAATTTGATATTTTAAAACCAACAAACTTTCACCAAAGCAATTTCTAAAGACATACTTTAGGAAGAAGATATCTGATGCCAGAATTATGGTATGAGATAAAAGGAAGAATTGTGAGCAAATAAAATAGTAAATATTTTGGTAAATCTAAACAAATATCATCTGTATACAAGAAAGTTATAAAATACATTTTCCCAAGCAAATCACACATGGATCATTTAAAAAATTGACTTTTTACTTGGCCGTAAGGCAAATTCCAACAAATGTTAAAGGATAGGTAACATATAGAACGGTAGTGTATTCTTTGATCACAATGTAACTAAGTTAGAATTCACTAACATAAAGTATTTTTTAAAAGCCCGATACCTTACATTTGGAATTTTAAAAAGCAAACTTGTAAGTAACTCACAAGTCAAAGGATAATTAATAAAGGATATTAAATAATAATACTTAGAAATTTGGGGGATCGTAAAAGCAGTCTTTAAAAAGACCAAAAATTAAGAAAACAGAATGTAACCACCCAAAATAAAGAAAATAAACATGGCAGAAATCTATGAACTAGACAACAAGTAAATCAACAAAGTCAAAAGCTGGTTCTTAGAAGAGACTAACAAAACTGACATATCTCTGGCAAGGCTGATCAAGGAAAAAAAATCAGGAATATAGAAAGAAAATATCACTACAGATAAAGCAGATATTTTTATAAGTAGTTGATAAAGGTAAACAAAAAACCCACAGAAAGCATCATATTTAATAGTGAAATTCTGTAAACCTCCCCTTTGAGATTAGGAACATGGCAAGAATGTCCATAATCACCAAAGTTTTTCGACATTGTACAGCAGATTCCAGTTACTCCACTAAGAGAAGAAAAAGAAAGGTAAGTGTCCTTAGAGAAGAAGGAGGGTCAGAGTCGGAGAAGGAGATGTGACCATGGAAAAAGAGGTTGGAATACGTGATTGTTGGAAGGGGCCATGAGCCAAGAAGTGTGGGCGACCTCTAGAAGCTGGAAAAGGCAAGGAATGATTCTCCTTAAAATCTCCCGAAGGTTGCAGCCCTTCTGTGAGGCCCATTTTCAGACTTGTGGTCTCCAAATGTTAAGATAATACATTTGTGTTGTTTTAAACCACTAAATTAGTGGTAGTTTGTTATAGAGGCCATAGGAAACTCATACACCCTCGCTCTCTGGGCTTCTCTAGACAGCAGTTCTTTCTCTCCACTTTCAAGAAAGTCCTATTCTCTCAAGTGACGTGATGCCTTGGTTCTGGAGAGGTGGCAGGTAATTAAAAATCACTGGAATCAAAATCAATTCCCTCATAAGAAGAAAGAAAAAGCAAGTGACATGTCCTAGTAGATTTTAAAAAGTCAGCCATGCCAATTTTTGCCTGTCATGTGGATATGAACAACAAAAGGTGACAATATAAAAATGTTTATTCTTAGCTGAAATAGGAAAAGCCACAGCTGAAACATTAGCTCCCAACCAGTAGCCACAGTGTCCTCCCCGTTCTCTGTTCAGGAATTCTAGCACTTGGAATCTTTGTCACCTTCGGTGACATTGTTGGTATGGCACAATTATGGCATTGCTCAAGTTTTCCTGACTTTCACTAAGGTGAAGCCTGCAGCATGTGACCAGCTGGTCATCTTTCTCAATGTGGTCATTAACCTCCATTTTCACAATAATCCTGTGGGTGGGGTATTGTTAGTCCTGTTTTACAGATGAGGAAACTGAGACTCAGAGGGGCGAAGTGACTTGTCCAGGCCACATGGCTAATAATGGCAGGTCTGAGTCTGCCTGCAGCCAAGCCCGAGTTCACGTCCACCACACTGGGGCTGGCTTCCTCATCTGCACCCGCCCGTACTCTGATGTTCCAGCCCTGTGCTCTTCCACAGACCAGTGGTTCTCAAAGTGTAGTCCCCAGAACAGCAGCATCAACATCAGCTGAGAACCTGAGTCCCACCCAGACCTACTGAATCAGAAACTGGAGTTGGGTTCCAGTAATCTGTTTTAACCATGGCTTCGAACCAGTTCATTTCAGTTCAAACACCTACTGAGAATTTGCATTTCCACCCCAGATATACTGAGTCAGAATCTACATTTTAACAAGATCTCCAAGTGATTCTTATTCCAATAAATTTTGAGAACCACTGCTCTACTAGTGGTTCTCAGAATTGGTCTCTAACCAGTAACATTAGCATCGCATGGAAACTTCTTAGAAATGTAAATTCTCAGCAGGGGTTCCAACCTGAGTGAACTGGTTCTAAGCCCTGGTTTTAATGAGCCTTCCACAAGATTCTGATGCATGCTTAATTGTGAGAACTGCTGCCCTAGAAGATGCTAATACCAGTTTGTTGCATTACCTTGAACTTGACTGGAGTCTGAGGGAAATATGAAGTGATGCACAGGGTAGGATAAAGAAAGCACCATGCCAGTGTATGCATTGTTAGTGCTATTTAAAGCCACAGAGATGGGAGGAGTTAGTCTGGAGTCAACAGACTTGCTGGGCTAGAGGAGAGGAATGCATTAGTCTTACCTGAGGGACTGAAAGGTAATGAAGAGGGAAGGTGGTGAAGCAGGGAGCAGAAGCAGAGAATCAAAGCGTTGAGGCCAATGGTAGTTGAGATTCAATATGGTGGACAATGGGGAGCCAGGGTAGGTTCTGGCAAAAGGGAGGGGCACAATTGCAATGCTGTCAGAGGAAGAGAAGGCTCAGAGCTGCGTGAAAGAAACGTGGAGCTGGAAGAGACAGGAAGTAGGAGAAGGTCTTGAAGGTCCCTTGAATAATTCAGGGCTGGCTTGGCAAGTCCCAGGAGTAGGTGGGGAAAAGGGAAGTTGGGGTCCTGATTAGAGGGGCTATGGAGACAAGCAGAAAACAGACAGACCTGGGTTTGAATCTTATTCCCTCCACTTACAACCCCAGTAACCATGGGCAAGAAAGCATGGATTCCTATGATAGGCATAGTGATGTATGATGAATGATAGAAACAATCATTGCAACAAAACGGTAAAAAAAAACAAAAACAAAATACCTAGCTGTGGCCGAGTCAGTTCTAACTGATGGCAACCCTACATGTGTCAGAATAGAACTGTGCTCCATAGAGTTTTTTTTTTTTAATATTTTATTGTATTTTTGGTGAAACTATACACAGAAAAACAGTTTCCCATTCAATGATTTCTACATCCTTAGGGTTTCCAATGGCTGACTTTTCTGAAGTAGATCGACAGGCCTTTCTTCAGAGGCATCTCCGGGTGGACCCGATCCTCCCATCTTCCAGTTAGCAGCTGAGTACATTAACTGTTTGCACCACCCAGGGACTCCAATCATTGCAATCCAAAAATACCAAACCCATTGCCATCAAGTCGATTCTGACTCATAGAGACCCTAAGGACAGAGTAGAACTGCCCCATAGGGTTTCCAAGGAGAGCCTGGTGGATTCGAACTGCTGACCTTTTGGTTAGCAGCCACAGCTCTTAACCACTGTGCCACCAGGGACTCCAATCATTGCAATAGCTGTCATTTATTATTTACTCTGTGCTAGGCACTGTGTAAACCCGTTTATGTACAGCTCCATGACTACTCTGTGATGTAGGTACCTTTATTGTTTCCTTTTATAGATGAAGAAACTGAGGCTGGAGAGAATGAGTGCGCTATTGGTTGAGGGCAACTATGTGCCTGGCCCTTTAGATGTGTTGCTTCACTGAACATTCACAGCAGCACTGCAAAGCAGGCGTCACTCTCCCTAATTTACAGATGAGAAAACGGAGCCTCAAGTCACCCTGCCCATGGTCACCCGGTCACACAGCTCAGGAGCGGTAGAACTGGTATCCCGTCCAGAATCTCTGCTTCTGCCACAGCACCCCACTGAAACGCACCCACAGTCGGGAGCCTGGGCGATGGGGCAGGGGATGTTAGTGAGGTTAGTAGGAAAATAGGGGAGGCGGGTTCATCATAAGGATCAGGAAAGGGAAGTTGGTCAGGCTGGTTTTGTTTTCAGTGGGCCGTCCAGGTGCTTCAGGTGGAGGCAGCCCGTGGGTGGAGGCCAAGTGAGGAGGGGTCAGGGCAGAGCTGCGGGTCAGGGATTCACCCAGGTCAGGTGACAGGTGTGGTCCTGCAGGGCTGTGAGGTCACCGAGGAAGGGTGCTGGGCTGAGGAGAGCAGAGGGTGGGGCTGGACTACCCTGATCCAGGTCTAACTGGATCAGGGAGGCTCTAGGTCAACGTGTTCTGAGTGTATGAACTGCACCGCACCACACCACACAGGGCAGACCCGTCTACACTGTCAGTGGTTTTGCACTCAGGCGTCACCAGCCAGCAAGTAGCTTTTGATCAGACACTGACCTGCAGACCAGCTAGTGGTTCTGCCGCCCGATGGAAACCTCCCCCAGTCCAGCCAATGAGCAGCAGGCAGCCTTAAGGGGATGGAGAATGAACATGACCTCAGGCTGCTTCTGACAAGCTGTGTGGCCTAGGCCTAACCACTGACCGTCCCTGGGTCTCAGTGTCTCCCTCTGTGAGATGGGAACAATGTGCACCTGCTTCCTAGGCTGCTATGAGGCTTAGATGGGAAAATTGAGGCACAGAGACACTGACGGAAATGCCCTTGCTCCTTTTCACCACACTGAGTGGTCTCCTGTTGAGAAGAAGACCCTGGGAGGAAGAGGAGAAGCCCATTGACGGCAGCTTCAGAGTCCCCAACATCCTCCGGGGTAGGTGCCTCCTGGGACTTCCACCCGTTCTGGGCCTTCCCCGAGCCCTTCAGAAGCAGCACCCAGCGAGGCCAATCTCCCGACTTTGCTGCATTTAAGTTGGGTGACCTTTCGCCTCTCTGAGCCTTGGTTTACTCATCTCTAAAATGGGGGTGATGATAGTGTTTACCTCACAGGTTTCCTGTGAGGATTAGAAACTGTAGATGCATAGGGCCTGGCATGCAGTAGCTGAGATCGTGATGCTTCCCTGACCTCAGCAGCTAACATTATCGAAAGCCCTTGACAGTTAACATTCATCACAGGTCAGCGATATTCTGTTTGAATTTAATCAATGTATTTCCCATTGCAGGGAAAGCAGTTGTCAAACCCAGAGCTAAAACCACAAGCAGAGTTTCTAAGAGCTCTGGAATAGGCGCCCACACCTCTGAGGTCTGGTCCCAGCTCAATGGCCTTGACTTTGTAACCTCTGGGGTTTCAGAGCCCAGTGGCAGAGGGCACAACTTGAGCAAAGATATAGAGACCGGCATGCGATGGGCCTGGGGCTGCGGGGTCAAGGAAGTAGGCGAGGAGGGAGGGCCCGGCCCCATCTGTGTATTAGGGAAAGAAGCCAGGCCTCATGAAGGTGATGGTTGAGTAGGAGACAGGCGGAAGGCGCTGACTGGGAGGAAGATGGGAGATGGGAAAAAGCGTGGCCGTCAAGGACTAGGTAAGAAGTGATGGGAAGGGCTCATAGAGGGAGCCAGGAGGAGAGAGGAGGGTCCTGCAGCTAGGCTGCCTGGGTTGGAATCCTAGACCCCCCCCCCACTTAGTAGCTATGTGCCTTCAGGTAGATTACTTAACCTCTCTGAGCCTCAGTTTCCCCCTCTGTGAAATGGAGATAACAGTACCACCTACCTCCTAAGGCTGTTGAATGAGTTATATGTAGAAAATGCAATGTAAATATTAGCTATTCTTATGTGAGATCTTTAGGGGATAGAATTGACAGGGCTCACGACCATCTGGAGGATCCTTTCTGGGGAGAAGTGGGCAGGGCCTCCCTCTTGGCCCAGCCCTGGCCAGCTCCCTGTCCCCATCTCCAGGGCCAGAAGAAGCACTTGTGACCTTAGCCCACTGCTCTTCAGTGCTGCCCAGCCCTGTGCTGGGTAGAGGGCTAGCCTGGGCATGCTGCCAGGGGCCCGGGCTAGCTCCAGCCCTTTTCATTTCCTCTGTATGCACCACCGAGTGTCTCATTCTTAAAGGAGTTTATGGCCTCAAGCAACATCAGGCTTTATCTTTTTCTTTTATTCTCCAATCTTTTCATTCTCTCATCCCCCTCCCTGACCCTGGGAGGCCACACAGACCTTTCCTGCTGTTCTCAGACTCCCGGGGTTCAGGCAGTGAGTGGTACTTTCAAGGAAACGTTCCTGCCTGCGGTGGAGGAACCAGGGCTGCCATTACTCTTACTGACAACAACCATGTACACTCCCTGAGAACATTCTTCAACCATCTTGCTTTCCCCAGAGTCTGGCACATGGCTTGGCACGTAGTCAGTCCTCAGTTAACATTTCTTAACTGAATGAACAAACAGCTACCTGCCATGTAGCCAGCCCTAAGCCAAGTGCTCAACAAACACTGTCACATTTTTTTCACATTTAATCCCTGCAAGCACCCTATGAAGTGGGTATTATCATCCCATTTCACAGATGAGGAACCTGAGGCTCAGTTGCCCAGCTAGCCAACAGCAGGGCCAGGTTTCCCACCTTGGTCTGTCCCATGGCAGAGCCCATCTTATCATTCCCACACTATTATGCTTGGCTGAGAGGTGAGGGGTAACAAAATGCACCGTGAACCAGTACGTGTCAGGAGGCCCAGGTTTTAGCTTTGTTTCCAGGGCATACTGCTGTGTGAACTTAGGCAAGTCACAGACCATTTCTTAGCTTCTGTTGCTTCGATGGTGAGAGGAAGCCTGCCCTGTTTGCCTCATAATAATTCTCTGTGGTGAGGCCCACAGGAACTTGTACTTGTACAGGGCAAAGAGCCCACTGCCGTGAGCCTGGGCACCTCCCAGGGCCCCTTAGGTTTTATCTCTCCCAGCTGCTCCCCTGGCGGCGGCTACCAAGGCTGGAGCCGGAAGCCTGAGTCAACCGCACATTCCTGTGTCTGCAGGGCAGCCTTGTCAACATCCCTGGACCTGCCCACAGCCCCCCTCTCACCTGAAGACATCGACTCGAGACTTGGTGCCCAGCACACACACGGCATGGGTGGGCTTCTCTGGGGCCACACAGATCACTGCCCCCTGGGCCATCATCCAGCCAGGTCCTCCCTCTGGCTACAAGAAGCCCCCAGGCTGGTTCCTTTATACTGCCCAGCAGAGGCCATGAGTCAGCGCCTGTGGTGGAGCTCCAGTGGCTCAGCCCCTCCCAGTTCAGGTCCCGGGCAAGTGCTCTCAGCTGTCCTCTGCCCTGGGGCTGCCCCTCTGACAGCTCGGGGTTCAATACCAGGATCAAGGGCAGCTAGCTCACTCAGTGTCCTGGGAAAGACCTAGGGCTCCAGGGGGCTCACTATCAAGTGAGGAAGCCTTCACCTGGGTGCAGGTCTGAGCCATCATGCCCATGGCCCTGTCCCAGCTGGGGGTCCATGACCATCTAGATCCACCCAACCTCGCCTCCCTGCACCAAACAAGGGCATCAGAGAAGAGAAGGCTATACACGCAGGGAGGTTGGGAGATTTTAGGCAAGAGGTCACAGCCCAGGTTATACATTCAAAGACTAGCCAGGCTTGGGACAAGTCTCCACAGGCTGGGTGACCATGTGACAGCACCCCCTTCTTGAGTGTGTCCCATGTGCCAGGCACCTGTCTGTGCACTTTGTCTGGAATAACTCATGACAACAAGCTTATGAAGTAGGCACTCTTACTATCCCCGTTTCATCCTCACAGCAACTCTCTGAGGTCAGCGCCATTATTATTCCCACTTTACAGAGGAAGACACCGGGGTGCAGAGAGACTACACAGCCAGAAAGCACTAGAGCCAGGATTTGAACCAAAGACATCTGGCTCTAGAGTGTGAGATTTTTTAGCTGCCTGTCCACGTCATAAGTGCTTTTCAGACTTTACTATATCTACTCGTCACTACAGAACAAGGTATATATGTATGTATTACTACCACCCATTTTACAGAAGGGAAAAACTGAGGCCCAGAGACGAAAAGTGCTTGCCCAAGTTTCCGTAGCTAGTGCGTGGGAGAGCTGGCCTGGAAGCTGGTGTTCTCTGCACACTCCAGGATGCCTGCCTCTTGCTGGGGCCTCTGGGTGTCAGACTAGACAGAGCAGGAGGGGACCACACCTGCCAGGGGGACACCCACTTGGCCACAGAGCTGTGGTTGCACCTGGGCCTTTGGTGCCGGGCTCTGTCTGCCAGTGAGGTGATGGGTGAGGAGGGCTGGACAGGCCCCAGCGGAGAGCACTCAGAGGGGGCGGTGCACGGGGATCTGGAGGGAGCATAAAGCGTTCTGCAGGTTGGGGATGCTGTATTCTGTCTGCTTTGGCTTCAAAGCAGAGAGTTTGCATTAGTAAGTAAAAGTCTGGCTGGGAATGGGCAGGCCATTAGTAAGAATCTGACTGGGAATGGGCACCCCATTAGTAAGAATCTGACTAGGAATGGGCACCCCATTAGTAAGTAAGAGCCTGACTTTTGTAAGGGGCAGGCCTGAATTCAAATCCTGCTTCGTGCCAACATGCCTGTGAGGCAGGTCCTATCATGATGCCCACTTTATAGGTGAGCCATAAAGGCTCAGAGAGGCTAAATAAATCTCCTAATGTCCCACAACTCATAAAGTGCAGGGTCCAGTTTCCAAACCCCCTTCTTGAGGCTTGTCATGGATTGAATTGTGTCCCCCAAAAATATTTGTCAACTTGGCTGGGTCATGATTCCCAATACTCTATGATTGTGTACCATTTTGTAATCTGATGTGATTTCCTTATGTGTTGTAACTCTATCACTACGATGTAATAAGATAGATTAGCGGTGGTTATACTGATGAAGTCTACAAAGTCGATAGTGTCTTAAGCCAATCTCTTCTGAGATGTAAAAGAGACAAGCAAGCAGAGAGACATGGGTAACTCATACCACCAAGAAAGCAGTGCCGGGAGCAGAGCGCCTCCTTCGGACCTGAAATTCCTGAGCAGAGAGGCTCCCAGACCAAGGGAAGACTGGTGACATGGACCTTCCTCCAGAGCTGACAGAGAAAGTGTTCCCTTGGAACTGATGCCCTGAATTTGAACGTGTAGCCTACTGGACCGTGAGAGAAGAAACTTCTCTTTGTTAAAGCCATTCACTTGTGGTATCTGTTAGAGCAGCACTAGATGACTAAGACAAGACTCAAAGCCCGTTTTCTTTACCTGGAGATAATGCGGCCAGACTTGTTGCTCTGATGTGTCTACACAATTACTTGCACACAGTAATTCTTAATAAAAGAAATTCTTTGGCAGCCATATAATTCAAACTAGTTTGAGCATCTAATGGAAGGTGGCAGGAGGGAGCTGTCAATTGTCAGAGTTGAGAGGGCCCTCAGGGAACACCAAATCCAGTCTTCATTCTATAGATGGGGAGACTGAGGCACAGAGAGGGGCTTTGGCATGCCCGTGGTCACACAGCAAGTCAGTGGGAGGGTTGAAATGCCACCAAGTCTTAGGTCTTCTGGGTAGTTTACTTTTTCCTATGGCAGTTTGGGGTTTAAATTTGCTGTGGATAAGCCACAAAGCAGACAAATCAAGAGCAATTTTATTAATCCAACAAATATTTATTGAGTACCTACTGTTTGCCAGGCACTGTCTCTGGCACTGGGGATACATAGCAAATAAAACAGACAAAGATCCCTGCCTTCACAGAATTTATTTTCTAATGGAAAGAGACAGTCAATAGGCAATAAATATAATAAGTGGATTATATCTACTATATTATTATTATATATTATAATATATTAGGAGGCCACTGCTATGGAAAAATGGACCAGAGTTAGGGCTGCCAGGAATGCAGGGCAAAAGGCAGGTTGCAGTTTTAAATAGGGTGGTCAGAGTAGGTGACATTTGAGTGAAGACTTGAGGGAGGTGACAATGTGAATATCTGGGGAAAGAATGTTCCAGGTAGAGGGAACAGCCAGTGCAACCAGTGTCCTGAGGCAGGGACATGACTGATGGGTTCCAGGATGAGTAAGAAGGCCAGTGTGGCTGGGGTGGAATGAGGAACAGGGAGGGGCGAGCAGCAGGAAAGGAGGTGGTGATGAGGAAACAGATCATATGGGGCCTTGGGGGCCTTTTAAGGACTTTGGCTTTTACTCCAAGTGACCTGGAGAGCCATGGGGGACTTTTGAGCAGAGGAAGAACATGATCTGGCTTCTTTGAACACAACCACTCTGGTTGCTGTGTGAGAATAGACCATAGGGGGCAAAGGAGGAAGTAGGGAGACCAGGGAGGTGAGAGAGGATGGGGGCTCAGGCCAGGGTGGTGGCAGTGGAGACAGAGAAGTGGTCAGATTCTGAGCATATCGTGAAGGTACAGCCAATAGGATTTGCAGATGGGTTGGATGTGGGTGTAAGGAAAAGAGAGGAACCAGGGTGACTCCAAAGTTCAGGGCCTGAGCACCTGGAAGGATGGAGCTGCCATCAACTGAGCTGGGGGAAGCTGGTGGAGGGGAGGTTGAGGGCAGTGGGGAGATTAAGAGTTTGGTCCTGGCCGTGTCCAATGGGAAATGTTCATTAGAGTCCGTGCAGAGACATCCTGTAGAATGATTGGACCCATCATTCTGGAGTTCAAGAGAGAAGACCATGCTAACTGTTTAATGAGAAACTATTTTTTCTGTAAACCTTCATCTAAGGTACAAAAAAAAAAGAATTATCTATGTGAGACCGAATTGCCAACAGCAACTCAAAAGGTTTGATGGGAAGCCTAAGGGGCAGTGAGTTAAAGATAATGGTGATAGAATAATCTGGAAAAGGACAGGGAGAATAGCAGCACAATTGGACTAATGTGATCGATGTCACTGAATTGTACATGTAGAAACATTTGAAATGGTGTAACTTTGGCTATGTATACTTTCACCAAAAAAAAAAAAAAAAAAAAAGTCCTCCAAAGTTGAGAAGGAAGAGTGTTAACATGTCGTGGGGTTGTTAACCAATGTCATAAAACAATATGTGTACTGACTGGGTAATGAGAAACTATTTGTTCTGTAAACCTTCATCTAATGTATAATACAAAATAAATAAACAAAAAATAAAAAAAAAGAGAGAGAAGACCATGCTGGAAACGAAATCTGTGAGATGTCGGCATGTAGAGCTCACCTAGGGATGAGTGTGGAAGGAGAAGAGAGAAGGCCAAGGAATGAGCCCTGGGGCACTCCACCAGAGACCAAGAAGGAGTGACCAGACAGAGGCGAACCCAGAGAGCAAGGTCTTGTTATTTTCTATTCCACAGGGGGCAATGAAAGCCAGGTTTATAAACATTCCTTTAATTATAACAAGGAAGAGCCTCCCTCCTCTTTCTACATGCACACACGTGCACACGCATGCACACACGTATATGCACACACACACGCACACCCACAGTCTTGGGGAGAGCAGCTGCATTTCTGAGGCAGAACCTCTTTGCAGACCTGCACTCGGTCATGCAGGGCAGGGCAGGGGCAATGGGCTCTGGGGTGGGCAGGAATCAAGGTCAGTGAAACAAGAGGCAGATGGGCCTGGGAGAAGGGTGCCGGGTACCACCCACTCCAGCATTTCTGATGACTACATCATCACATAGCTGCTCCCTACTGTTGGATGTGGAGCCTGTTCTCAAATCTCACTTTACTCCAGACCACCAGGGCTTCCTTCAGTTCCTACAAAGGGCTTAGGAACTCCTGGGGCTCCGAATCTCCCTGGAGAGCTTCCCTCTCTGGCACTGTCTCCCTATTATGACCCCCATTCTGTCCTAGGTGATGGTTCAGTAGCAGGGATGGGGCTTAAGAGCAAAGACTGCGTAGCCAGGCGGCCTGGGTTCACATCTTGGCCTTCTAATTGTGTGACCCTGGATAAGTTACTTCACCTCTTTGTGCCTCAGTTTCCTCATCTGTAATACGAGGATGATAACAGTACTTACTTCATGGGATTGATATAAGGATTATATGAGCTAATGCATGTAAAACTTCCCAACAGTGCCTGGTGCAGAGTAAGTGGCTTGTCAGGGCTAATTTAAGTATCTCAGCTTCAGCATCACTTCCTCCAAGAGTGCACGCCTGATTCTTCCTTCTAAAAGGTGCCCCTCCTATTCTCCCATAGAGCTTTTTGGGTTTTGTCCTTGAAATTCGCCACCGTTTGTCAC